AAAGAGTGGTCCTAATATTCCCAAGGGAAGTCTTCCAATTATCTCACAAAGCTCTTAATACTGAATCAATTTATGATGCCATGTGATACACAGATACGGTATGGTGTTATATCATAGCACATCTTCATATGTCCAGCTACCGTATGTATCATACGCTACAATTCCAAACACCCCCCTCGAATATAAAAAAAAACATAAAAAATTTAGTAAACCCAGCTCCAACAAGCCAGTAAAACCACAGTATGATACCATTTATCGTAGTCTCCAGTAAATCCCATGAACCCAATGCTACCCCTATCCAAAACTCAATACCCCCCCATAGCTAGCGCACCTCTACTCTGTCCCCTCTGCCGAAGCATGACACCAGCAATTGATATCAACGAGATGTCAAGAATCGAGATATGGTATAAACTAAACTACCGTTTCCACCAACGTAAAGCACGCAACAAGGGAGAGGGGGAGTGTATGCCACAGCAGTGAACTACTATTACCACTAATAAATTTTAACACGCCTAGAGGTGGATTATATCATATCATATCAGAAATAAACAAGTGGGCTATATTCCAAGTGTATAAGGAAGAAATGGTTACTCGGCCTCAGCAGGGTTTAGTTACCTATCATGCATACACGCACACATAGCACATGATACGGGAGTGGGAATGAGGGCTGTACAGTACAATGAACTCCGCCGCCTACATTTCCATAATGTAATCATAGTAGCATAGTATGATAGCATAGTAATACACACACCACATAAACAACAACGAATCCCAGAAATATTGTCGCACCCCAACACGACAGAAAGCACAATACGTTCGGCCGCCAGTCGCTGTACCGGTGCTACTATCATACCGTGCTCTGCATATCAGGATTCACGGAATGAACACCAAGAGTCATGCAGATGCATGTAGACCCCACTCATCAGTAGATAGATAGATAGAACGGCCTCAAACGAAGCAAGAAGAAGAAGATTACTTCGCCTTCAACACCTCTAGTATCTCCTCGCGCAAAGCCTCAAAAAAAAAAAAAAAAAAAAGGAACATTGATCGACGAGTGACTTCACATGAGTCAGTACCCCTTTCTCTCTCTCACTTTCTCGAGAGACCTTCATTCGGGGGAAAATAGAAAAAAAATTTATCCTTAATACGTCACATAGGCGCTCCGTCCGCCCCGACCGAAACTAGACCAATCTGTCCAGGATAAACTATAAAATATGCAGCGAATGATCACAAACCCACTTCTAGAGAAGGTTGAACCAGCCTCGGCGTAGTCTAGCTTGACGCACAATCACGGGCACTGGTACAGTACGATTGAAGTATCGTATCCAGAAGTCTGGGCATAGCTTAGCACAACAACCGCAACACCTCGATATCTTGTGGCCATTTGAACTGAAAATTGGCAAGAAATGCGATGTATAGTATGCCATTATCCTCTCTCAATGTCAAAAGTTTTTTTTTAGTTTTTTTTTAGTTTTTCTCTCAGACGCTTCCACCGTTCCCTTCGCCATCGCTGCCATCGATGGGCAGAAACCAAGCCAAGCCAAGACCTCCGGATACCGCACTCTACGAATCTCCAGGCACTGACATTATGCCTCGCCCTAACCCACCGCGATATCAAGAAAAAGCACTAGAGATGAGTAACCATCCCAAAACCCCCAGCAGAGCAGAACATTGAAGAAGCATTCATAAATCGCGCAATACAATTGTCGGAAGTTGGGCCATCTATTCTTCAATACTTGTACATCGCCCAGCAGCAATCGGACCGAACCGCTTTAACCTGACTCAATAATACATGTGACACAAGCAATGGAATCACTCCACACTTGAGCCGTGGTTTGAAAGCTTCCATTTCCAGAATGACCAGAGGTTTTCGTCATTTTCGGGCTTGAGCTGTTTGCCCGGGGGAGCACGAGTTATTTTTGACCAATGGTGGGCTCCCTATCTGAATGTTTCACCTGAGAACGTGTGCCGGTGCTGAACCTCGATACTGAGTTGTGGAACGAGTGATGCCCAGACCCCCCCTCCTCTTGGCGTCTCCGTTCCATGGTGGGGCCTGAGCCTTCTCCCTTTATCCCGTCCACCGGCCCGCGCCCTGAGGGGCGAGGGTAGAAGGGGCTTGGCGAGTGATGGCGCGTGAATAAACCCTTTTCTTCTTCCTCTGCCCGGTAAAGCTTCTCTGCCCCACAGACTTGGTTGGCGAACGGGAGTGGGGATGGGGGGGCGGGGGGATGGAGGTGTGGAGCAAGTAACGTGGATGATTGGCAAGATATATTGGCGGCAAGGTTGGAAGGTGGGTTCGAACCAGGTCGGGCTGGGCTGAGCTACCGGTACTGTATGCACGGCCGGCTCGGCATTTTCTTGCAGGAGCTACCGTATCGGTGGTTTAGATGGGCTATCAAGAGAGGGTTAATGTATGTTACAGTTGTTGATTAATTGTGGCAAGAATGAGGCGAAGGGTACCGTTAACTCTCAGTCGTTAACTTGGGGGAGGGGGGGAAGAAGGGAGAGCAATTTTGTGGTAATGTCGGATTTTGGAAGGCCCGCCCTCCATCGCAAGATTCTCGCGATGTTGAAGTAGCCCAACTCGTCTGCATCCAGAGTGAGTGAGAAGTGAGTGAGTAAGAGGGTGCTGTAGGGATTGCACGGGGTAAGGTTGAGGTTTGTGCAGTTGTATCCTACCCTAGTGCAAAACCAGGAGAAACACCTATTCCGGTATATCTCCTGAGCCAGGCCGTTACACTTACTCGTCCCCGCCAAAAATACTCCCAAAGATGCGGTATCGCACAGTACCGGGAGGGGGCCACGAAAACACCACACCTCGACCCTAGTCAAACCGGACGGTGCGAGATAACTGCGCATATTATTGCTAAACGCCCTTCCTTTACCCTGCCCCAAATTTCATAAGCTCCCGGCAAAAAGTGCTCGCCCGCCGTGCCAAAAAAAGTGACACTTTTTGATACAGTGCCGGCACCCTAGCCAATGCCCCTATGGGGCGCTATAGTACGCGTACAGTCCACTATAGCCTGGCACGGTTTCGTATCATCGCTGCTTCCGGTTCAAGCGACCGAAATCTGTGACTTAGATAGATACGGCAGGAGGAAGGAAAGCTTGAGGGATATTTAGTGACTTCGGACCAGCAGCTTTGCCCCGATTCGTAGAGGGAATTCGAATCTTCTCGCGCTTCTGACGTCAGGTTTGGTTCTTCATAGCCCCTTTTTATTTCTACTTTAAACATTACCTGTAGCAGTTGAAGTCGAGGTTTCGCCGCCGTTGCTGCAAAGCGGGAAGGTGAGAAAGAAGAGGTTGTTGTCTGCGGCAGATTGTTCCGGTGCTTCTCACTCGGGATGCATAGGAGAACAGAGTGCGCGGCCGAACTTCCGTTGGCTACACAAGGGTTTTGTGTGCTTTAGGGTGGCTGTGCTCGAATCCTGTGGAGAGCAAGGAAAGCGTCTGTTTAACCAATCGAAATTTAAGGTCTGCCGTACTTGGCTAAGGGGAATTTTCTCCACAGTCGTTTGGCGATGTTACCACTGAATTGCACTTTTGACATCAACATTATTCTCAATTTCACACACTCTCTCTCCCTCCTCGGCAATGGCTTATTGAGTCTTTTAGTTTACCTCAGGACATTTGCAAAAGCTCTCTTGTGCAACCTCAGCTAGCGTGCGATTCATTGTCACTCGAAGGAGCATACGGTATGGCAACAGCGCTGCCAGCACCCGTGGTGCTGCACCATAGCAGATCCATTCGAATACTGGTACGGGTACGGTATCGGGGCAGCTTCGTCTTCGATTCATCAGCGTCCCAGCGACTCGTGGAACGTTGGAGAAATAGGGACTCGAGAAATCGGAGGGCGGGGGAGGGCTAATGTTAACTTCCAGATGAGAGCTCTCGGATTAGATGAGCTCACCTCTCCCTACTTATCTCTCCCTTTCTTTCGATCCGCAGTATGCCTTTAAAAAGCAGTTGTATTCCCTCCTTCAGTGGTGCCCGTATCCCAAGTTTTCGGTGATTGCCGAGGTGGATGAAGAAGGAATTTTATGGGCTGCCGACGATAGCCATTTTGGGGCATCGGAAGCCTTTGGGCATTAATACGTAACTGTTGAGTTTGAATGTGGAAAAAGGAAGCGCTGGTTAGCCTACAGAGACACGTGCTTCAGCCCAAGTTCTTTCTTTCTTTCTTCCTCAGCTAAATCTCACGATCCTTGGCGAAAGGAGGTGGAGTTGGTTTCCACATGAAGGAGCTCTTTCATGGGGCTATTGTTCTGGATCCCCTTGGGGGCTTTCGCTGATCAATCGCACCGGTCTACCAACAAGTGTGCCCTCAAGGGCTCCTCTTCTGCTCGAGTACCGTACCCAATCTGTGTAAATGCTACACGATAGATGATACAAGTGACAAGTCTAGGTACGGTATGTACCGGTAGAAGGAGCACCGTTTTGGATTGCTCCAGAGCATGGGACGAGAACGCTTAGGGACTGGATCGGATAGCGGTGGATTATTCCTTCGCTGTTGCGATCTTTTGCTTTTCCGAACGATTGGCGAATACCGTACCCGATGTGTGGGGTATCATACAACCTCAAGCCTCAGCGAGGGAGGCCCAGCCTTGGAGTGGATGCGGGTCCGGAGTCGAGTGACTAAATTAAACCTCAGCCCCAGGTTTCCTCCGCTCCATGCATAATTTTTCCGGGGGTCAATAATTTTTTCCCCTCTCCTTCTTTCCCTGACTTCCTATTTCCATCTCTTGCTCCCTCTCCTGCCTTCACTGCTTGTGCCGGCATCATGTCAATGGCAGAGTCAGAGAACCGGTATTGTATTCTAAAGGATTTTTACCGGATCAATGCCTTGCTCTGACGATGAAAAACCCATGGCCATGTCGTGCAAGCATCGAATACGGAATGAGAATCAAATTTGAGCCCCCATCCGCCAAGGGCAAATTTACCTCGAATCCTTATCCGTTCGCAAGTCTCAAATCAGAGGACTTATTCATCCAGTTCCTCTATCGCATGTGACCCCTGAACCCGGAAGGGGGGTTTCAGCTGCACATTTCTATGTGTGAAATCGAGGCACGCGACCTGTAAAAGTAAAGAAAAATTTTCTGGGCAAGGAAAAAAAAAAGGAGAGAAAGAGGAAAGAGGAAGAAGAGGGAAGAAGAGGAAGTGGATAGGAAAAAGGAATGAAACCCGATGGGGTCTAAGCGCACGGTAGGTGAATGTAAGATTTGATAGTCGAGTAAAAAGCCTCACGATGCCTTCGGATGCCTCTTGAGAGCAGGGCACAGTAGATGTGCTACCGAGCTGCAGCTACCGTGCTCGAGTAAGATTACTCTTGTCTTTGCTGGTGCCTAGATGCTCGTGGTTCGTAAACACCCGGCAGAACAGGGCACTGGAGTATCGAAGTCTTAACGTGGAGAGCGCTTTACGAGTCCTTGTCCATCTCATAAACTCCCATTATCTGAGGGGTGGAGTGGATCTTCGTTCATCATCGAATAAATTAACTTTTAATAGAAAAGCTATTAGTGTGAATGGACCATCTCAATATCTGAGTGAGAGTGATATCGTGGTCCTGGCTTTTCTTTTTTTCTTTTTTCCCCCTCTCTTTCCTTTCCTTCCATTTCCCCATTTCCCGTGTTCCTTCCGCCCGCGGTTATTCAAGCGATAAGTTAGAGGCTATCATCCCATATGAATTGTTCCGAAAGTTTCCCCCGTCCCACCACTTTCCTTTACAGGCCAAATGCAGATCAAGAGCGACAAGGTACGGGTCACCCATTGCTCAAATGAGAAAGAGAAGCGGAAAGATCGAGTGGGAAATACAGGCTGGGATGAGACTTTGAACGCTCCGGGCGTTTCTCGTCTTTGTCACTCTGTTCCTCACGCTTCCCCGGGAAAAGAAAAACGACTTCATGTGGTTTGTGTGTGCCAGACCGTGGCTGCATCAATCAATTCGGATTACGGCTCCAGCAGCACAGCCTGCCTTGCATCCCAGCACTGTAAGGCTCCATGGCCTCAAGGTTCAATTGGTGTCCGATTTCACCCGCATGGCACTACCGGCAGTGTCTCGGACGGTATTATTCTCAGGGGAATCCATTCAGTGCTGTTGTGGAGCGCCGGATTATCCCGACACCAACCAGCCGGAGGGGCAGAAATGACAGCGATCACCGCCTCCAGAGGCGTCGACGGTTGGAACTGCTTGCTTTCCTTGCGTCGTCCAAGCACGAGCCTTCCCGGAATATCTTAGACCTGCTTCCGACATTTCATCTCCTGAGGCCCCAATCATCTTCCTCCTCATCCTCATCCCTTACACAGCTTACATCGTCCGCTTGCCCCTCCAATCAACTAGTATACATTATGGCTTCACCTCAAAAGGGTATAAAGACCCCAACTTCCCCCAGCTCTAATCGTCGACCATCAGTCTCGACCAGCGCATCTCGTCCTGTCCACTTCAAGAACATCTTCACTTCCTCTACCGCTTTACTCAAAACCCAGCCTTTCAAGAAAGAAATGGTTTCTGACACTGTCAATCGTACCTCCCTTCACCCCGGAGGTGTCCAGTAAGCCCCCCCTCGATTCTCTCTCTTTGAATAAGCTCTTCTCAGAGCTTTCGCTATCACTCGAAAGCACCCAACTCCCGCCACTCGTCGTTTATTGGCATTGAGCATTTCTGACGTCAGAATTACAGGCCTACCCGTGAGCATACGGAAATTGAGGAGGAGCTCCATGACAAAGCTAATATCGACTATGATCGTGTTGCTATTGTGTGTCTCCAACCCGATACCTGTGCGGCCGAGTTGAAGTTGGACACTTGAGGTGGCGATTCCCGCACAAAGTGTCCAACCGCCACTCGGCCACGCTGGTATCCCCTTTTGAAACAAACAGCTCGAAATTAACATTGCCCAAAGATCCCAAATGCCTCGGTAGCTGCTCTCTATGAAGATGCTCTCGTCTACGAAACTGGCTCCGCAATTACATCATCCGGTGCCCTGACCGCATACTCCGGGGTGAAAACCGGCCGTTCTCCCCTCGACAAACGCATTGTCAAGGAGCCCACATCGGAAAACGAGATCTGGTGGGGCCCCGTGAACAAGCCAATGCACCCCGATGTAAGCGAGCCCCGCATTTTCCCTCTCACTTTCAGGGTTTTTAGCAGGAGACTAGTTCGACTAATCACGTGATCATGACGTTTTAGGTGTGGAGGATCAATCGTGAGCGTGCCGTCGATTACCTGAACACTAGGAATAGGATCTACGTCGTTGATGGTTACGCCGGATGGGATGATCGTTACAGAATCAAAGTCCGTGTTGTTTGCGCTCGCGCATACCACGCTTTGTTCATGAGAAACATGCTCATCAGGCCCAGACCTGAAGAGCTAGTCCACTTTGAGCCCGATTATGTCATTTACAATGCTGGGTCTTGTGAGAAAATCTTTCTTTTCCGGTCTGGAATGAGTGGGCGTTTGCTGACATCAAGCTAGTCCCCGCAAACAGATATACCGCTGGAATGACATCTTCGACTTCCGTTGCGATTAACTTTGGTGAGAAGGAGATGGTTATCCTTGGCACTGAGTATGCCGGCGAGATGAAGAAGGGTGTTTTCACCATCCTGTTCTACGAAATGCCAGTCAAGCACAATGTTCTCACCCTCCATTCCTCCGCCAACGAGGGCCAGGAAGGAGATGTCACTTTATTTTTCGGTCTTTCCGGAACAGGAAAGACGACACTGTCAGCCGATCCTAACCGAGCGTTGATTGGTGACGATGAGCACTGCTGGTCGGACAGGGGTGTTTTCAACATTGAAGGCGGTTGCTATGCCAAGTGCATTGGTCTCTCGGCTGAGAAGGAGCCGGAAATCTTCGGCTCCATTCGGTTCGGCTCGGTTCTTGAGAACGTCGTTTTCAACCCGGAAACCAGAGCGGTCAACTACGATGATTGCACCTTGACCGAGAATACTAGGGCTTGCTACCCTATTGAGTACATTCAGAATGCCAAGATTCCTTGCATCGCTGACTCTCACCCATCCAACATCATCCTTCTGACATGCGACGCGAGAGCCGTGCTCCCGCCAATCAGCAAATTGAACAATGCCCAGGTATGCATCACCGTATCTTTTTTTCGCTTTGAAGAGTTTTCACTAACCGTAATTCCAGACCATGTACCACTTCATTTCCGGCTATACCTCAAAGATGGCTGGCACTGAGGATGGTATCACAGAGCCACAGGCCACATTCTCCGCATGCTTTGGCCAACCCTTCCTTGCCCTGCACCCCATGAGATACGCTAGGATGTTGTCAGACAAGATCACCGAGCACAAGGCCAATGTCTGGCTCTTGAACACCGGTTGGGTTGGCGCCAGCGCTACCAAGGGTGGTAGGCGTTGCCCTCTGAAGTACACTCGTGCCATCTTGGATGCCATCCACTCTGGTGAGCTTGCGCAGCAAGAGTATGAGACCTACGAGACCTTCAACCTCCAGGTCCCCAAGACTGCCCCTGGTGTCCCCGATCAATTCTTGAACCCATGCAAGAGCTGTAAGTCCCACCCAACTCTGACACGTATTTATGCTTTGCACATTAGCTTACAATGTTCCGCAGGGTCTGGCGATGCCACCGACTTCCAAGATGAGGTTAGGAAGCTTGGCCAGCTCTTCAGAGAGAACTTTGCCAAGTACGAGGACGAGGCAACCCAAGATGTTAAGGAGGCAGCTCCTGTCGTATAAGCCTAGGGTGTCTTGTTCTAAAAGAACGATTGACTTGGTTTGACAACTGGAGGCAGTTGTGGAACATAGATGCATGGATTTCGCTTTTATTTTATTTTGTTGGGTATGATTGATGGAGGATGAAAGAGCGTACAGATTTCCTTTTGCTTTTTTCTTTCTTTTCTTCTTAATGTTAATTTTTTATTCCCTTTCACAATTTTTTTCCTAGGTCAAACCGGCGTTTAAAAAATTTCACTACTGTTGTATATTCAAAGTGGGGTGGTTGTCATTGTTAGTACAGGAAGTTGAATCAAGGTCTTCACGATTGACACTGTTCTTTTGAGGGAAATTGAATGGAGGAGTGACGGGAAAAGATAAAAATAGAGATTTTGCGAAAAGTCTAGATGCGAGTCAAACGAGGTTCCGGGCCAATAAGATGGCTATGATTTGACTCGGGTGCGAAATCGCCAAGTCTCTTATGAGAAATTTGCAGGCAAATGTGACTGCACATTTCTCTACTCGAGTAACCAACCGTTCCACACCTCCAATACCCGAAAATCTTTGTCTCCTCCCTGTACAAGTATGATACCAGCATCATACCGTACTCGGGCACCGATAACATTCAGAAACAGCCTCCCGGTCCTCGCTTCCTCCAGCCCAACAAATGCACAATCTGCACCTAGAATTTTTTTTTCAACCAATACAAAGTACGAGTGCAACCTCACGCATACTCGAGCACCCTACCCGAATGCACACATATTAAATCTGACTCCTCCACCGGACCCACTGACTGACAACAACAACAACCGAATCCGGCTGCTTCAACGCAACCCTGTAACCGGTATCATACTCGAGTATAACAATATCATAACCGTAGACTAACTGTACTTTACAGTACTCGTACACACGATACGATAAATTACCGTAACCCATTCCAACCTCCCCCCCCCCCCCCGCCTCCCTACGGTATTCCTCGGTCTCACCTCACCTCATCTGAATTTTTTTTTTTTCCTTCCCTTTTTTTCCTTTCCAGAGTATCACAAAAGAATGCTCGTCGTACGAGTACCGTACATTACGATAGCGGAGTAATCATAATCATAAGAAGTGAATTGAGCCATTTTTCCCCCCTTTTCTCTTCTCTTCTCTTCTTTTCTTTTCCTTTCTTGCTTGATTGATATTGTGTTTCACCTGCGGAGGGAGAAATTTGGTAAAAGTTGCCGGTAGGTTAGGTTAGGTTAGGTTAGGTTAGGTTAAGTTAGGTGGGAACTGGGGGATTGATTGATTGATTGATTGATTTTGTTCCGGTGAGTTATCGTGGTGTGCTCTGCCGGCATGGTTGATTATATTGGTTGTTGTGTTGCGGATGGGGTAAGGTTGAACTTGTTGACTGTGGTGATGTGTAGACTATATTGTACGAGTATGGGCACCGGTATGATATATGATATGATGTGTGAATTGTAGCGTCGTTTTTTCACTTTTTTTTTTTTCCTTTCCATGAGGCATCCGAATTTTTCTCGTCGGGACATCTCGGGGCTTGGATTGTGACACAGCGTGGTCGCTTGGTCACGTTTTGCCCGCTTGCATTTATGCGTATTGGATACCGGTTTTTTTTTTTGCTTTTGCTCGAGTCCCCGCGTGTACGGTAGTTAACTACCACAGTTAGTCTGACTACGGCCGCTTGGAATAGCTTGGGAAAAGTAAAAAGAATGAGGAATAAAAATAAATAAAAAGAAGGCCTGAATCCGGGATTGAACCGGAGACCTCCTGCACTTTCAGTTACCCAAAGCAGGAATCATACCACTAGACCATTCAGGCTGTTGGGATAGACGCCGAAAAGGAGACCATGTACCTTCACCGCAGGTGGCCGAGTGGATGATCGGAGTTCAACAACTTTATCTAACCAACCCCATCCCACCCACAACCCATAATACCCATGCCAATCACCCAAAAGCTGCATTCATAGCATACGAAACGATCAATTGGTCGTCCACCCGAAAACACTACAGGCACTCACATCAGCCCCATCCCATCCCATCCCCGATCAAAATGGGGAAAGCAAAACTAAAAAAAACTCACATTCCACAGATTCCCCACATTCTCATCCCCCCCTGGCGCGAACGTTGAATTGACGTACAGAAAAATACCCTCCGAGTTCTTCAGCCCTAAGCTGTCGCGGAGGAACTTGACCACGTTCTCGAACCGCTGGCTGGTCTTGATCTTGTACACGGCCTTGTCGAGAGCAGGGGCCGAGCCGATGGGCTTGAAGCGGATGTTGACCTTCGTGGGGCGTGGGTGCAGGGCTTTGTCCAGCGCGATCTTGCCGTCGCGCGGGAGGGAGGTTAGGACCAGTGAGGCGGATAGGGCCACCGGTAGGTCGTCGGTTGAGCTTGAAGAGGGTATTTTGGGGGCGTCTGATGGCACGGGGGGCGGGGTTGCTGAGGGAGGGGTTTGATCGGACATTGTTGTGGGAGTTGTGGATGGTTGATTGGCGATGGATTATGATAGCTGTGAGGAGGGAAGTGGGGGTGGGGTGCGGACTGAGGCTCTGCGGGCTCCGGGGGCTATGGGTTAGGTCTTACTCGCTCCATTCCTGCCGAACCCCTAAATTTCCGAGTGATGGATGAGTAATGTTTGGGTCATGGTCTGTGCATAAGGCTGCTGGACGGCTTGATGCAAAGGGACTGAAAGGGGACCGAAAAGGCATGACCTATGATACCAACCTACCGCGAGTGATGAGAGATGCCTCTCACAGGTTATAGGTCACTCCCCATCACTCCACCCACAGAACTCTCTGGTCCCGGTCACCACCAAATGCGCTCACAGGAATCACTCGGGTCCGTCATTGACGAGAACCTCGTTTCACCGCTAAGGCCACTCGAGTACATCCATACCTTTCGCACCACATAGCTTCGCATTTTACAGCTTTGGAATTGATCTAGAGGAACATGATACCCCCCCCCCAATCCATCACTCCCGGGTATGCCTCAAGGAAAGAGAAGAAAAGGAGGAGAGATACCGCCCCAGGTTCCATCTACTCATGCACCCGACCCTTCTCGCACACTCCCACCACCAGAACAAGAAAGGTGAATGCATTCGCCAAAAGCCTATCATTGTGTGGTTTTCAGAATGCAAGCTTTTGTGGTCATACAGGCGTGATTGGCTCCCAGGCTTTTTATTCTACGATCAACTTCGTGACCTTACCGATGGCAATCGTTTGCCCCTGGAGAATGGTAATTAGTAATAGGCCCCTGTGAGTAGCCTGGAAGGTCATACCTGATCGCGAAGAGTGAAACGACCAAGTTGTTGATAGTCTTCATATTTCTCAACGGGGAACGATGACCCAGTTGCTGACTCGAGGCGAGCGATAATGGCTTGTCCTATACACATATTAGGCAACGCTCAATGGATCAAGGTCTCTAAATCGCTCACCCTTACTAGCAAATGCTGGGGGCTTTCGACTCTTTCTCCCTGTGCCTTTCTCGAGCTTATGCAGTAGGGCGGTGAATGTGATCTCCTGAATTGTCGTGTGGACGTGCATAACACAGTTGAAACCGGCTGTCAATATACTCTTAAGTTCTAGAATGTGAATTTGCGCTTCAAATGCAGTGACGCAGTGGATGGGCTTCTTAGGGCTTGAGAGGACGAATCCAGGAATGACATCTTCTTCCTCAATTCCCCGTACTCGCAAACGCACTTGGTCCCCGCATTGAGCATGGGGGAGCTCTTCCTCAGTTTCCCCGTAGACGGCAATAATTTCGACAGGTGTCCTTCCAGGCATGATCACGAGGTTGGAATTTTTCTTGATGAAACCAGATTCCACCTTCCCTTCGATCACGGTTCCCATATCCTAGAATTGTGTGTTAGCTACTAGTGCGGAAGAGGGCCTGGGTTTCAGTCACCTTGTACTTTCCGCTGATAGGCATCATGAATGGTGTTTTGAGTTTACGCTCCAATGTTTTCATGTTATCCAGGTGCTCCAGGAGTGATGGCCCAGAATACCAGGGGCAAACATCTTTGGTAACTCGTGCCTTCAAACCAGCACCAGTGAGTGCAGACAATGGCATGAACATCAAATCTGCGCGGCATGTCAGCAATTATCCTCCAACCCCAGTCAAAAGTTTATATCCAACCCGTTTTAGGATTGTAACCTGTTCCCTTAAGGAACTGTGTGAGCTTGGTCGTGCATTCATCATAACGTTCCTTGCTCCAGCAGACAGTTGGGTCGTCCATCTTATTAACCGCCACAATCAACTTGTTCACACCCTGGGTTTTGGCTAAAACCGCGTGTTCTCTGGTCTGTCCCCCCTTCTCGAATCCTGTCTCATACTCTCCCTTTCTGGCAGAGATGACTAAAATCCCAACATCGGCCTGCGAGGCGCCACCAATCATGTTAGGAACATAGTTCTTGTGGCCTGGGGCATCAAGGATAGTATATCGTCGCTTCTCGGTCTCGAAATATGCACGTCCAACTTCAACAGTTTTGCCCTTTGCACGTTCCTCCTTTGTCAAATCGAGGGCCCATGAGAGATACCATGATTCACGACCTTGTTCTTTGGCGTCACGCTTATACTTTTCCATAGTACGCTCATCTACCATCCCCGTGGCGTACAGGATTGCCCCTCCAAGAGATGATTTTCCAGCATCGACGTGACCAATAAAGATTAGATTTACGTGTTCCTGGATAGGGTCAGACGAGGTTAGGGATAAAGAACACCACATCAACAAAAACCTACCTTCCCGTAAAGCTCTTCGATAACAGAGTCGTCAATCTCATCCTCTTGTGCCTTTGCTACAACGTCCACTTCTCGCCTTTCTGCCGCTAGCTGGGCCGCCCTCTCCGCAGCGGTCGGGGCAGGGGATGACTTCCCAGTAGGAGGTCCGCCAGGGCTTGGACTCGTCTTTCCACTTCCTCCAGCTATGGAAGCAGCAGCGACAGCCTTATTAGCAGCAACACCGGCCCCGGAACCCGGCCTGTTGTCCGGCTCCCTCTTATGCGAGGGCGCGGGATCTCCGCCAATCTTCAAAACCTTTGGGGCTGCATCACCCCCGATCTTGAGCACCTTCGGAGCAACAGGGGTGGAGGAAGCAGTACTAGGGGTAGAGCTCCCACTCTTAGGGGGAGCTGGCGTGGAAGTTCCGGAAGCCGGTGCCGAGTCTTGCTTTTTGGCGATCTGTGGAACTGCCTGCTGTTGCTGTTGGC